ATCAGATGATCAAGTGAAAGCAAAGGTGTCATTGTACACATCCTCATGCTGATATATGCTTGAGAGAATTTTGTTACTCTGATTTTGTGGATTTGTTTTGAAAACAATGGCTTACTATATTATGGTTTGTAGAATTGGTTTACAAAAATGAAAATTTTATCATGATTTTTTATGTTAAAAATTGGTATTAGATCCCTGGTTTGAGCGAGTTAAACGGACATCCATGTGATTCCAGACTCAAACTATGGAACTGTAAAATAATTTTTCATAAATACATTTAAAATAAACAAATGAGAAGATGTGGTGTGTATAATTAGCCGGAGCCCAAGGAAAGTATTCCCTAAGTTACCCACACTTGTTTTGTATATTGATTACATGATAGAATCATGTGCTAGTTGTAGGCTAGGGATATTTAGGAATTGCATGATAGAATTTTCTGATTTATGATACATGATAACCTAGGAGGACTTCTTGATATGGTATATGGAACTAACATTATTACTATGGTTGCTTAATGTGTGCCTCATATTTATACATAACCAAGATTTTATAGCCTAGGAATGTTTAATTTATCCTTATTTCTTGTTCCTTTTTTGGTTGTGGGATTACGGTAGAATAATTTATTTGACTGTCTATCAAACCCGTTGTAATGTAAGATTAGCATATACAAGGTAGTTGTAGGGTTAGTGGAAGTTGTATGAGTAAGTATGGTTGTTAGAAGGTTAGCATAAGGACTGATTAGCCACCCTAAGAGGGTGAGTATAGGATGTATGCGTATCCTAGTTTCTTAGGCTTCATTGTCGGGGAGCTCGTGATGATTCTTTGAGACAAATAACGGTAGGTGTGGAAGGTAGTATGTGCCCATACCACTTAAAGCATAGGACCCGTATGTGTGTCAGGGAAATCATGAATTCCATGAATTTAGTAATTTCGTAGTGATGTGTTAGTATGAATTATGGGTTTTCTAATGTATTCCAGTTTGTTTTCACTATGACGATCACTAGAGGATTAGGATCAGGAGTCATTGTCCCAGAGAAGACAGGGTTGACTGATGATGAAGTCCACGAGATGATCACCACTCAGGTGACATGGAAGTTAAGGAGGTGATCCCAAAGATTTTTGAGTCTCTCAAGACTAGTATGATTGAGCTTTTTGATAAGTGGTACACCACCGTTACTGAGGCAGTTGTTGTCGCAAACACTACCACAGTTGCTGTTGTGGGACTCTAAGGGAAAGGTATGGTTCACTATCGAGACTTCTACAACACGAAGCTCCTAGTGTTTAATGGGGTCAAGGACCCGATCATTAATGTGAGTTGGCTATCTGACGTTGAGGGTTGTTTCTTTACTTGCTTGTTCCTAGAGGACTAGAAGGTCAAGTTTGCCTTGAACCTTCTTCGCTTAGGAGCGAAGGATTGGTGGAAGCTGGTGACTGGTGCTTATTCTACTGAGGAGAAGGCCGTAGTGACATGTGAGTAATTCGCAGAGATGTTCCATATTGAGTATGTTCCATTGGTTGAGAGGTAGATGTTAGTCTAGGAGTATTTATCGTTGAAGAAGATCACCAATTTGTTTAAAGAGAGAGCCGTATTTTTCCATGAGTATGTTGCTTCGGAGCAGGTTCAAATGTCGCACTACTAGAGTATGCTCAAGATGGAGATCCATGAGTTTGTATCAACCCAAAGGTATAGTTCTCTCTCCGAGTTGTAGTCTTTCACTCGACAGAAAGGAGATTGAGATTAAGACCCGGACGAGAGAGAAAAGGGAAACCCCACTTTTGACACCACCAATAGTGAAGCATTTTAAGCCTGTTAGATCATGATCCGGAGGAAAAAGGGGCCGCACTTGTGGAAAGTGTGGAAAGGTGCATGAGGGGGTGTGTCAATCAGCGACAACGTGCCATAATTGCGGCAGGTGGGGGTATTATGCGAGGGATTATGGATAGTAGGATTCGCCACTGAGCAGTTGGATTTGTTACCATTGTAACCAGTTTGGCCATATGAAGTCCAATTGTACCTTGCTCGCTGCTAGACCAGTGCATGCACCTGTTCCAACCACTATTCAAATCATAAACGGACATCATGGGAGGGTCGAGGCACTAAGTGCCATGGTTCGTGCGTTTCAGATCACTTCAGAGGAGGCCAGGGGCGCCTGACGTTGTTACTATTATGCATTAATTATTTCTAACATATACCTTCTTAGTGAATTCCTTACTTGTTCTTGTGCTTTTTGACTCGAGTGCCATTCGGTCTTTTCTATCTCAGTACTTCTGTAGGGATTTCGATATGATCCGTGGGGAGTTGGAGTTTCTTTTGTGAGCTTCCATCGCCAACGAACACAAAATTTCTGATTTGAGTGTTTTTCGTCATTGTACATTGGAGATTTTTGGGGTGTCCTACATGATTGACAGGATTCCCATCCGTATTGGGATGTATGTGTGATTGTGGGGATGGACTGGATGATCAGGCTTGGGGCAGTGATAGATTGTGAGAGGCAGCTAGTGGTGGTTCGAACCACAAGTAGGATAGAGGTAACCATTTACGATGAGAGTATCAGGATTGGTTCAACATTATGTTTGGCTACAAGGGTGAGGCAGTATCTCTAGCATGGATATTCGGATTACGAAGCATATGTAGTTGACACTCAAGATGAAGGGAGAGCTTCGGTTTCAGATGTGCCAGTAGTTATAGAATTTTGACATGTGTTCCTCGAGCATGTACAATGTGTGCCTACTATGAGGTAGGTAGAGTTTCAGATTCATCTGACCCCCTGTGCGACCCCGATTTCTTAGGCACCGTATCGTCTTGGACCACCAAAGATTAGTGATTCGTCCTCTCAGCTTCAAGAGCTGTTGGGTAAACATTTCATTAGACCAAATAGTTCACCATGTGGAGCACCGATTCTATTTGTAAAGAAAAAGGATGTGTCTCACTATATGTGCCTAGATTATCGGGATTTGAATAGGTTGACAATGAAAAATCATTACCCACTTTCTAGGATTGATAATCTCTTCAGTTAGTTGTAGGGTATCTTGGTTCTCCAAGATTGATCGGAGGTCAGGATACCATCAAATGAGGGTCAAAGAGGAGGATGTGGAGAAGACAACATTTAGAACTTGTTATGGTTATTGTGTGTTCGTGGTGATGTCATTTGAGCTTAATCACACATCGGTAATGTTCATGGACTTGATGAACCGGGTATGCAAGCCAATGCTCGACTAGTTGGTTATTGTTATCATCGATGATATTTTGGTTTACTCCATGACCACAGAGTTGTGTGAGGAGTATCTACAAGAGTTGCATGCGATATTGAGGTAGGAGAAGCTTTATGCTAAGTTCTCGAAGTGTGTGCTCTGGTTACGAGAGGTCTAGTTATTACAACACCTCGTCAATCAAAATGACATTGTTGTCCATTTGGCCAATATTAAGATAGTTATGCAGTGGGAGGTCCCAAAGTCTCCATATGAGATCAGGAGTTTTCTGGGGTTAGCAAGTTATTATCAAAGGTTCTTTCAGGACTTTTCCAATATTGTCATTCCTCTGACTCACTTGACAAAGAAGAGTGTGGATTTCTGTTGGGGGCCTAGGTAGCATACCACATTTGAGATATTGAGACAAAAGATATGTGAGGCCCCAGTATTGAGACTTCCCAAGGGTGTTGTGATAAGTTATTTAGAAATGTGTTTTAATGAATTGATTAGAAAAACATAGTAAGAACACGACAATATTCAACACATATATTCTGGAATAAGCACAAAGAGTTTGAGTACAAGAGTGAAAAAGGCTATTGCGAAATTTTCTCTAACCTCTAAGTACCTACTCTATTTATAGGGTAGTCATCGAACCCAAAGATACTAGGACTCAACATTACATTGCTAATCGTAAAACACCTAGTAAATACATTACATAATGAGTATATGTGACCACTTGTTATTCACAAACTTCTCGATAACGAATTTACTACCTATTCGATATATCACAACAAAACAGGACTCAACATTCTCAACTTTATGATAAACTGTCGAATCTTCAAACTTTCCGTAGTATCTTAACAGTCTGTAGCAGAACCTCTTGTATTTTCATATACCAATGAATGATCTTCCTAATTTTCTTTTTGTCTTCATTCTCATTTATTTGACAATTGTTTATGCTAAATAGTATGTTGGTAGGATGTGAATTCAAGTGTATTTCAACATCATCAAAACAAAATAAGAACTTTTTCTCATTCTCCTTCTTTCCTTTACGAATAAACACAACTCCAAGTGGATCATGAATAACCTATCCCTCTTCATAATATTTATGTTGATTTTTCCTTTTAACAAAGCCTTAGGAACTTTTGTTCTTCTGTTGAAGTAAGTAGAGAGATCGATATCAATATGTGCCAGATGAGCAAAATAAGCATCCAAAAAAGTCTTGATATGCCAATATCCAAGAACATAGGCAACTTTATCTGGAATATCAATCTTTTTAAAGTCGCCCATCAATGATGAAGTTGGAATGAGATCATTCATGTTCATGAGTGGAAAATCTACAATCTTGAATTCAAAGGGCATATTGTTTGCACAAACCACCTTGTATTGAAAATTTTGCAACAATACTTCAAATAACACATCAGGAGTAATCGATACAAACTTGATGATTTTCACTAACGACCACAACTCTTCCTCATTTTTTCCAAGCACCGCATGAAATTAAATCTTTATATTTTTAAATTCTTCCTTTTCCTTGTAATTCTCAGCAAGTTTAAATTGACAAAATACAAACGATGAGCAATTAACAGGAAAATCTAGTTGATTAAACTTTGTATTCTCTATTGGATAACTCTTCCTTTGCTTGACCACAAAGTCTTTATCTTCACTGAAAATTGTGCTTTCAATCAATTTGTAATTCCAAACTTCATTTTGATCACCCTATCTAAGACCAGGTGGACCATCTTTGCTATGCCTTATAATGCTATTCAACTGCTTATCTTTTCCATCAAGATCTCTTGCAAGCTTTTCTTTTATTCAGCTGAAGGCTCAAATTGAAAACCCTTCCCTTTATCTTTGGGATCAACATTTGAAGTATTCTTAACCACAACATAACTTGAACTGCCTTCTCCAATACTTATACCTTTCTTTTTCAACTTGGATAAGTCGAAATTGACATTTGGGGTAGTCGTTGTTGTTGTCGATGTTGTCACCACTGGTTTCATCGGTATTGAAGTTGGATTTTGTGTAGACATTACTTTCCCTACAAATTTTCCTTTATCTTCATTACTCGCCTTCGATGAACTAACCCCTTTTGTCTCCTTTGTGACACATTCACAAAACGTGGAGAATTTTTTGGAAATTGAAGCACCAAATCTAGTATGGGTGTCAATTTAGACTTAAAGCTTGATTTAGTAGAGGAAACCATTGCATAAAGAGATTCTTGGGAAAGCGAATATTGTGAAGTAAGATCAAACTTTGATAACGCCTCTTGAAATTCAATGAGAGACTTCTCAATTCTATCGAACACCTTCCCAACTGCTTTAATCTATAACTTCAAATCACCATATTAATATTTATTGAAGGTGGAAATATCCTACATGAAACGATTTGTAGCTCTAATCAATACATTAACCTTCTGAGTAACAACATCACTAAACCTATCAAGTCTCTGAACCTCTTTGGGAAATAATTCACTGAACTCCTTTATCTTCTACTTGATAGAATCCTTTGATTAGTCAAAAGCTTCTCAAATATCGCATACAAGTAACATCATGCAATTTCATAAGTTCATAATAAAAAAATACAAGAATGAGTAGCTAATATTTCATCAATACAGTGTACCTTCAATTCAATCCCTAATCCTTGACTCTTGAAACTTTAATAGGTACTGGATCTCAACCCTACTAACAGAAGACTTTCCAGCACTATCATTGAATAATTAAAGAAACAAATTCAACATAGAATTGAGAATCTTGAATTGTTTACCAGGCATGATGACCCTATTAGAAACATCAACTTCTTACATACTAAACTCAAATTCTGCAACACCAACCTTGAAATCATCTTTATCTTCATCATCATGAATGTGACCTTTGGTTCTGTTGATTAGGATGAAAAAAAATTGTAATAGGTTCTTGCATCACTTCTTGAAAAGTTAGAGAAACCATAGGAACAAAGTAGGAATGATTGTAGAAGTAGGTGGAGACAATGAAGGTCGTGGAAGTGGTGGTGTAACAACTGAATTACTGAGAGTGGATGTCGAAATACCTTCACCCATTTAAGATTTGAGTCCGTATTTGATATGTTCTCAGTGATTTTTCAAGTAATACCCTCCTCCATATTAGAATTGGGAAGATCAACTTCAGGTGGTTGAACAATTTTCTTCTTAGGGATTGAATTAATAATATGTTCACCGGAATCGATGTTTGGATCCACATTAGATATGTTACTAATGACACCAGGAATAAATAGCTCCTCAAAATTCAACTCTACATTGGTATCATTTCGTGGTGAAGTGTGATATAAACCTGCATCATTCTTAACTGTGTTATCTTCTGTTTCTTCACTATCTTTGTATGTTTCAATTGTTCATAATGGTGTGAAGTTGTATTAGAAGGCTCAAGAACAGATAAAGCTCAAAATTTTTGAAATCATTTTAAAACACCAACAACTTTACGCTTCTTCTTTTTTGGATCCATAATATTAGAAATTTCACTTCGTGATTTGACTTTCTTCTTAATCTTTTTAGGTTTTGGAGGGAAAACCTCTGAAGTAAAATCCACCATATCATTCTTCTCAATTTGCTTATCAACTCTAATGGCTGCTCAGAACCAACACTAGTAGACTTCTTAGACAATTCTTTCATAACTTGCTTTGAAAGTCATTTTGAAGGCATCTCAGAAACAGTTTTCACAAAAGCCTCTTTCTCAATAGCTATAGGCTTAGACTTAAGTTTCTTCTTCGTAACTTGCGATTCGGTAGAAGTTCCATATGAAAAGTGACTTTCTTAGGAATTGCACTAGAAGAAGTAATATTAATAGATTCTTTGTAAGCAACCAAAATAGAATTCGTATGTGAAACGAGGTTGAACATAACATCAGGAATTCAACCAACCATAAGGAACATAAGGGGATCATCGATAACAGATTTAAGGATGAAAATATGAAGAAATTGTGCAACCTAAACATCTGATGGAACAAGAATAACTGATTGACTATATACTTCTTTTAAAATAAAACTCCAAAACTAAGCATTTGAGATATCAGTAGTCATCTTAGAGTAGGAAATTGACACAACAAACTTTTCCCAAAGCAATGCTGCATAATCGACATGTATTCAATAGTATAAACCCGCCATGACTGAATAGAACTAGAGCTTTGCTTTATCAATGCCAGTACTTCGACCTTTCAAATACTTAGGCATAATTCGAAAGAAGAAATTCCAAACATTTGGAAGATTAGCCTTTTTGAAACTACTTTCAAGTGTGATTGGAGGTTGATACCCCATTTCATTAAACATATACGAATTGTATCAGTTGAAGTAGTTTTAAATTGACCTTCTAGTGGTAACTGTAAAATTTGGGTGAACTTTTACTTCATCACACACTTAGTCTTGTGAGATTCAATCAGAAACATGATAACCTCTGATGTTTTGTGGTAAAGAAAAATTGTAGCAACAAATATCAACCACTTCATCAGAATCGGTAACGACACATATAAAGCATGAGCGAGACAAGAATCCTTCATACATTAAGCAAGCATCTGCAATTCTTCAGGGTAATTCTCAATAACTGGATCAAGCCATACAATATTCGATTGAATCTTCATTATCAGCATGGAAATTTCATCTTCGGTGGTTTTGAATTGATCAACAGTTGACATAATGATGGAGGAAATTTTGAGTTTGATCGTAGAGAAAAAATTAGGGTTCTTGCATAAATGTCAGAAAGCAGAAAAGTTAAAATGAATGATCACCCAATCTTTTATAACCAGCATGAAATTCAAAATAAATTCGAATCACCAAATGCCACATATAAAGTTAGTTGTCGAAATGAAATCACCGCTTGCTGCCACATGCAGAATTAATGAGTGCTTTTATCGAGCCATGCTAAAGTAACAGTAATATCCCATCCAACGACTAATTATGTATTCCAAAGAAAAATTCAACCATTACCCCTTTTCGTTTCAAGTCAAGAACAATTTGTTGGTATGGAGGTTGGGCTCATTCACTTATGGGAATTATAAGCAAAATCATACACAAGACTTTGTGAAATCTATGTCTAAGTTGGTAATACGAAATAACCTCAAGGATTTCAGTGCTTAGTGTTCCAATTGAAAAGATAGAATCAAAATAAGAAAATTTTTGATTTAGTGGTATCAAAGGATCTTTGGTATAAATGCAATAATATCCCGGAAAAAAGTTTCTTAATTCGTCATCAAGAGAGATGTCGAATTCTTTGTTTGGTGTCACGTGAATTATAATCGAATACTTATAAAGAAGTATTTAAGGACCTCTTTTAATAAGCTCTTTGGGTGGTTTCATTTTCATATAAATTCTTAACTCAACATAAGAACAAATGCTTGTAAGAAAATACTTGTATGACCAGTTTAGTCAAGAACAAGTAAGCTTTGGAACATTTTGAGTGAGAAAAGCCCTAGGTGAATGTTCAAATAGAAATCTCATCTCATGAAAAATTAAAAACCTAGATCTTTTAGGAAGAAATAAGTTGGGTTTATTACATTATCACTCAAAAGAATTAAGAATGAGATTTTAAACATTCAAAAAAGGTACATGGAAACATACATTTTCATTAAATCAAGAACACAAAAATGTTCACCATCAATTCATAAAGTTGAAGTTTGTTGGCTCTGAACCTCATTATGGAAAAATGTGTTAGGATCATAAACACATAAATGTGGCATACCTACATCCCGATTGGTTTTGAACAAAAATGTCTTGGGAATGTGTCATCGTGTGGGCAAGTCTAAGAACTTTAGGATGAACAAGTTTGGTTACGATAATCCATTTTATCTTTGTGAATATTAGGACCATGTAGCCATCTCTTAACTCAAACTGAGAAGAGAATGGAAACTTGAAGACTATTGCGAATACAACTTATAGGGAAGAAATTTCCGTAAAATATATTTCATCAGGGCTTCATACACAATGAGTCAATGAGGCTTTGGAAAACATGTTGCAGCATGCTAGGGACTCCTAACTAGTAACGGGTTAACAATTATACTTGATCTTTTTCGATATTTTTAATTGGCATGATTACGAGCAATAACTTGCACAATGGATTTCCCAATCGAATTAACCAAATCTTGAAAGAAAAAAAAATTGTAATTTTATAATTTTTTTGAAATGAAAAGACAAAATAATGAAAATATTTTTGAGTTTTTTATTTTGAAAAATAAACAATGAAAAATAAAAATCTTTTTGTGTTTTTGATTTAATAAAGCAAAAAGAGACCAATTAAAGAAAATATTTGTGTATTTTTCAACAAAAAAAAAACTATTGTTATCACTCAATATTGATGATGAATAATTATCTCCTCGCAAACGGAAACTTCTCGTAAGTGGTAACGAGTAACCTTCTACTCGAAAGCGGTAACTACTCGTAAACGGTAACCACTCATAAAGACCAACGTGTAGGTTTTTGTCACACCCCAAAACCAGGAACGGTGGAAACGTTCTGGGGCGGAGGACGTTATGTATAATATCAACAACAATGTAAAGTAGTAAACAAGCAACAACATCATCCATTGCATTAATAATATAATTATTATACAAATGTGTTCGGTCAAATTTTGATAAACACTAAAGCATAAATCAAAATGAAAGATAAGTCTTGAACAAGCTCCATCTTCCTTTCTCCTTGCATCGGTACCTGTCTATGATGACCTGAGGATACAAGTAATTTTGAAAGCGAGTATCAGCTTTGAAGCTAGTGAGATCATAAGTATTTTAGTGTCTTAATTTGTATGTAAATACTTGTATGTATTTGAAATGTAAGTATTTGTATGTATACGCATTGTAAGTATTTGAAAATGTATATGAACTGTAAGTTTTGAAAATGTATATGAAGCAACTGTAAACGTTTGAAAAACCCTAGAATCCCGATGATTCCTTCTAGTATATGAAGGTGTATTCTACCAAGACCTAACTGTTCTGTGTGTGTGTGTCTCTTGTAAGAGGATGTATTTTCCAAAGTATAACTATCATTATCCAAAAATATAGTTTGTACATTTGTGTTTAAGTGAGGTTATCACTAAAAATATGTAATGGAAAATCAATGTAGTACTATGGTGTAGTGCCGAACTACAACCGTACCTATTACCTTAAATCTAGGGTAATACTTCCAAGTACTGTAGTATTTAATAAAAATAACTACATTGGTACTCAACTGCCTTATTTGAGGGATAAGGTATAATGTGATGTCTAGATCCCAGACTATACGCTCCCCTATCAAAGGGATTCTGGGACCTACCCACGACCCCTACCTGAATGCAAGCCGTGAGCATCCACATTACCGAATGATCATGTATACTCGATATAACTATCACAATTGTGGTGTGATTCATCAGTATAGTTAGATCCTGAACTGGTTCTGTGCTATAGCACCTAGTGACGTCTATTCTATGTATATGTAAGTGTACTCATGTAAGTGTGATCATGTAATTGTACTCAAGTAAGAGCGATCATGTAATAGTACAGTAGTGTACTGTAATGTTCTATGTGTGCTAGCTGTAATGTGTGTTCTCTCTATCTAGCAAGTATAGTAATGTAATTATTCTAGTATAGCTGTATATGTCCTCGTTCTAGTATAGTTGTATATGTTCTCGTTCTAGTATAGTTGTATATGTAATGTACTGAAAAGTTCTAGAAAGTATTGACTCATGAATGAACAGACTCATTGTATGATATCGCGTTCTAGCAATGGTTCTAGTATCTTCCTGAACTACCCATATGGTAGCTTTCTAGTAATCTAAGTGGTACGTGTAGACATGGATGTATACCCTTGCTACCCAAGGGCATAGGATGAACTTGAATGACCTTTTATGACTATATATGTACACATGATATATAACTAATATTTAAACGACTTTTGGACGAATACCCAATGTCCCACCAGACCACATCTCAAGGCGCGAAAAGTAAATAGGGTGGATAGCGTTCCTAAGTGTTTTAAACATTTCTTATATAACTATACAAATAGAGGCATGCAATTTATAATATAAAAGCATAAATAAGTTTTGTAAGACATTTGAAATATAAGTATTATTTTAAGAAAAAAGATCGACTTGATGTCAATCTATAAAACAATTTGAAGGCATAAGTTTAATAAAACAGTTTAAGTATAAGGAAACATTTGTTTGGAACACAGTTGTAAATAAGTTTGAAAGGAAATGTACGGAGTAAGCTGTACAGTGTAAAGAGGAGTTTAAAACATATAAAATGTTTATAAAAAGTCATTTGAAGGAAACTGTTTGGTAAAACGGCTAATGAGTAGCCAAATCATTTGAATGTTGTATATTAATCACATGTGATTGACGTAATAAGTAATATAATCCTACTTACTAATCACATGTGATTGACATAATAAGTAGCATGATTCTACTTGTATCCCCCCGCCCCCCCTCCCCCCATAAAACATTTAAAAAGAGTTTAAAACATTAGTTAAGGGGGTATGAACTCACCTGCAGTAAGTGACTGGAATTGAACGGACTGTTATCATACGGAAGGATCGGACAAGTGCTTGGTGTCAAGTGGAGACTTAGACACACACAATGATCCTAATTACATATGAAAACATATGTATATAAATAATTAGTGATTATAACACTAATTATACAAGTAATAACAT